TTTAGGACATCTGCCATTCTATGAGTCTGCTGAGTATCTCACTTCCCATGTTGGATCACTCTCCCCTTTATTTATTCTATCGGTTAGTGTTAGCAGGTACTAGACTTGCTTATGTGCTCCCTTTGCCAATGTCATATTCTTCACAGTCTTTCCCAGAAGGATTTTTGATGTCTGAGAAAGAGAAGTACCCCTTAACATCTACCAACCAGGCTTTCTTACCATATTGAGTGTATTCTATCAGGGTCTCAAAACTTACATGAATTCAGTTTGAAATCTCTTACAAGTTCCCCTTTTCAGAGAGTGAAAATAATAAATAATAATTTAAAATCCATTATTTTGGCATACATTTCACACCCACAAAATTTGAAAGCATGAAGCTTAACCCAGGTGAAAATTTTTAAAGATTTATTTATTTATTTATTTATTTATTTTGAAAAGCAGAGTTATAGATGGAGAAGAAGAGTCAGAGGGAAAGGCCTTCTATTGGCTGATTCAGTCCCCAAATGACTGCAGTGGCTGGAGATGGGCCAATCCAGAGCCAGGAGTTCTTCAGGGTCTCCTACATAGGTCATGGGCCCAAGCATTTGAACCATCTTCCACTTTCCCAGGCCATAGCATATAGCTAGATCAGAAGAGGTGCAACCAGGACACAGACCAATGCCCATATGGGACCACCACCACAGGAGGAGGCCTAGTCTACTACACTACAATGCTAGTCCCTCCCAGGTGAAGTTTTATTGTGTTACTTAATTGCCACAGATATAACAGAGACTCAGGGGTACCCGAGGCCACAAGCACCATGTTCACAAAGATGCTGGCAGTCTGCACAGTTTAGAGTCTGTAGATTTGACCAAAATTCATTTAAGAGAATTTTTTCAAGTGCTAGCGGTGTCTTTGCCATATATCAGAAAGGTCTCAATAACCTATATTATATTCTGTCTTAAATGCATGCATTTATGAAACCCATGTGTTCCACCAAAGTATAAAATACACATTGTAGAAGCCAGTTCCTAATTTCCTTGATCATGTTGAGTTCAATGTTCCTGACTCCACCATCAGTAGTTCTCTCACAGCCTCCACATCTTTGTAAGCAAGAACATCCTTTTCTGAAAGGTAGTTGTGGCTTCTTACAATGGAATTTCTCAGGTCTAATACATCCTAGGCTTCTCCTCTCCCAAGCACTTGTTTCAGTTAAGGAGCCACACATTAGCATATTCCAGCACAAAGGTCATTGTTGATGCATCAGAAATGTTTGTTCCAGGGTCCCAGAGCCCAAGATACTGTCTTTTCTCCTTCTCAGTGATCCTGGACTTCAGAAGAACTTCTTTAAGCTACATCCTTTTTTACAGTAGTAAGCTATGCCTCTGATGTTTCTTTTCCCTCTGTTGCTCTGCTAAGTCTCAGGAGAATGCTCCATTGAATGTCTAAATATTTAATCTGCTTCCTTCCTTGGCCCTTTTTTTCCTCTAACAAATGAAGGAGTTCTACTATTTGCTGAAATTGAATGTCTTTCTTCTTTCCTTTGAATTTTTATTTCTGCTTTTTTGGTCAGGGTATTTATCCATCCAACATCATCTTCTAAATTTTATCTTATAGATTTCCCAAACAGAGATAAGAAATCAACAATTACTTGGTCTGCCAAGAGCCCTGACCATTCCAACAAATCTTTTCCTATTATCCTTGCCTGAGCTGAATCATGCCACTGAGGAGATGATCTCCCTATCAGGCTACCTCTAACCCAGGCTGGAGCGAATCTGTCATTACACTGCCTAGACCTCCTGTAACAAGAGATGTGGTAAGGCAGAATCCCCCAATATTCACCAAGATAATCCACCCTAATCCTTAGTACTACAAATATGATATCATATAGTTGATTGTACACTTCACAGAGCAAAAAGAATTTGCAAAATATGAAGTTACTCATCAGTTGACACTTGGTTAACAAAAAGGAAGCTTACCTCTATTATCATATAGTTAATATATTTATTTAAGTCCCATCCCTGGGTGGTAGTCTTAGAATCCTAAGTCCAAAGGTATGTTGAACATGTTCTCTAGTGGTATACACATATCTGCTGCTCCACCTGCAACATCTGTTTCATCATGATATCAACGCAACCCAGAAGTTCTTTTAAGTATGTTCAATTGATCTCACAAGGTCCGTCCAGCTTTTCCGCATTTTTACATGTCTCTACAGGTCTTCAAGCCGTGTTTCTTTGTATAGACCCCTTAAATCGTCACCTCTCAGTGAGTTCCAGCAAACTGTCACATTCCTAATAGCCTGCTTTCAGAGATCTCTCCTCTTTCCCTCTATTAGATTTCTTTGTACATCTGTCACACTTTCTGATCTAATAACAACTAAAATGCCTCCTCTGTTTCAATACCCTCTTTTCTCACAATCACACCTAAGTACAGCTACTTTTACCTTTGTACCTGCTTTTCATAGCCCTCAGCAGCTCATTTATCTATCAGTCTGATTATTCCTCTAGGATGTCCTAAGGTTTCTTTCCAATTTCTGCTTAAACTTCATATATGTGCTTCATTTTAGTTCTTCCATTGCTGCTGTCCAAATAGTAAGATTAAAGCACACTAATTGAGATATTCTAATAATTTGATTATTTCCTGAGTAAAATATTCCTATATGCTCAATATTCCAAGGGCAAGCAGTTTTTTCACTTACCCTCTTGATTTCCGTGTTTTCAATCATTCCCTGTAAAAGAACATTGTGTTGCTTTTTTCAACAGAGCTCTTCCTTTATTTTATTTGTTTACTGATCAATTCTATCACATTCTGTGGGTAAATCCCCAGTTTTAGCCTTGGGAAACAAATCAGAATCAAAACCCTCAAAATGAACAAACAACAAACTCTATGCTAATTGCAGACCACGTGCTGGAGAGTAGCTCTCAAAAATCCATAGACAAGCCCATATTTATAAGAAGTTATGACCTCCAGGTTATTCCTTTTGGTCTTTTGTGCATCAAAGAGAATTTTGAGCAACAAGTTCAGTGCCGCATATCTGGTCCTGTCAAGAACACTTTAAAGCAAGAACTTTACACATTAGGGCTCTGGAGTGCAAATAGAACACAGCTGCCTTGATAGATTAAAGTTGCAGTTATAGACTGGACACTTGGCTGATGACCTTAGGAAAAGCAGAAATTTTGTGCCACTCATCAAAGCCAAGCTATTATAACCTCTGCCCCCAGCCTTGCCTTAAGTGCTGTAGCAATTCATATCTGTCTGGTTCAAGGTCAGTGTACAGCAGCCCAAAGTGAGGATCTAAATGGCCAATATATTTTAAAGTCCATTATTATTAAAATGTTGCATTTCTTATACTAATAACAACCATTTATTTGTCGACAAAGCTTCCGGAAGGACTAAATGCACATTCTAAAACCAGAATCAGCCCCATAGTATAACACAAGTCAATGAAAAGTAACCAAAAATCTAACATGAATAACACAAGCCAAAGATGTACACCCCATTTCATGACCCTGACCAACAAAAATCTCTATCCCAGCACCTTTTATTTTGTCCCAAAATATCACTTTTTATCTATAATTTAAGATTACCTGCTTTCACTAAGTGATAGAGTTTTTGAAATTAATAAGTAACACCTCACTCTTCCCTAATTAAAGAGTTAAATGTGTAATGGATTTAAGATTGGAGAGTTTGAGATAAATGTCAGCCTTATTACTGTTTAAAGCTGTATCTATTGACATGCCTGTTTCTCTCCATGGACATATGAAACCTGCCCCAATAAGTTGTTTCTTAATGGAGAGAATGCATTAGGTATTTCCTCTTTACAAACATGTATATCCTCCAAAGGAGGACCAAAATGGACTCAGCAAGTCACCAGTCAACTAAATCACCCTTTCCTCCCTTGGGATACAGTGGAGAAAGAGACCAAGATGTTGCACAAATAAAGCACCTACTGCATGCAAACATGAAGCCAAGGAGGAAGGAAATTCATCTCTGAACTATTAAAATCTTGGCTCACTTTAGGGTGGTTATAAAGCAATTAAATCAGGCATGTGAATACAATTGCACTAATTATTAAATGTCTGATTTTTGGAATTTTTGTTTATTTGTTTTGAGAGACAGAGAGAGAGAGAGAGATAGCAAGCATGCCCACTAGCTCTCCTATCTACTGGTTCATTTCCCAAATGCCTGCCAAGAGCTGGGGAAAGGTCAGGCAGAAGACAAAAGACAGGAACCTAATCCAAGTCTCTGATCTGGATGGCAGGGACCCAAATACTTGAGCCATCATCTGCTGTCTCCAGTAGTACACATTTTCAGGAAACTGGAATCAAGAGTGGATCTGGGACTTGAACCCAGGCACTCTTATATGGGATATAAACATCACAATCAGCAGCTTAAACAAGATCGAATGGTTACCCCCAAACACCTGCTTTTAATATAAAGTTCAGAAAAATAGGAAACCATCTAGCTTATTCATTAATGTATTCATTCACTAACTCAAGTTTTATTGAGAGCCATTAATGTGGAAGGCATTGTTGTACAATTGTCACTTTTTCAAATGAGGAAGCCAAAAACTATGGAGGCAAAGCACTTTGACCAATGTTATTCAACATATGAGAGACAGAGCATAGACTAAAACTTATTTTTTTCTAGGCACCATGGGATGCAGAATGAACAGACATAAAATGTGTAGTATTGGGTAGACAATATCAGAAATATTGCAATTGGTCCTGGCTACCTCCAAGAAGTTATTGACAATAACCATATCAAGAAGAAAGAAGCCAGAGGTAGAAGGAAAAGAGCATAAAACAAGTGATATGAGAAATGGGAGGTTGTAAGTGTACTAAAAAGAGTTCTTCCCCTGGTGGCAAAGTGGCCTGTTTTCAAGATGTGGACTTGATCACATGGAGTTGTCATAACTTCA